AAATTTTCAACTCCAGCTTTTCCAACTTTTGCCATTGATGTGCTTAGCACGAATATCAAGTTCAATTATACGCGTGAAATTGTCATGCGGGCCCTTTTTCTCACTGAAGAGAACGAGTACCAGCGGTGCGAAACTATCACATGCCTTTCTCGCTAGAAAGCACTGCTTTTGAGAAAAGGTAAACACGGACGGTGCTGAAAGGGAAATCTCCCAGGGGACAAGTTGACCCCAAAGGGGCGGACTTAACCAAAGGTCCGGAGCAATTTTCTTGCTTATCACCTCGAGTTGCTTGAATTTGGGGACCTCAAACATAGAGTGAGATCTAAGAACTTAAAACTCTTGGTAGCAATCAAAAGAAGCGACGTAAATAGTGAAGTTGGCTCTATTAAAGGGCAATTTAAGGATTACATAACAAGATAATATTGGAAAAAAGATTAATTTCAGGATAACATTAAAATTAAATGGAACTCCCCAATCATATACCAATATTCTATCTTGGGACTCTATTACGACCTTCTCCCCATCAACAACTAATTGTCTGACAGTGTGAGTTACCCTATTTGGTTGAAAATACATGGAGAAGAAAAAGAGGGGGAAAAGGGGGGATCTGGTATTTGCGTTTACAGTTCACCAAATCATCAAATTTTTAAGTTATCGCCAGTCTCATTCTTGTTTTAAAATACAGGACCATCTTCTTCTCGATCCTTCTCTGCAACAACCCACCCCTCTTCTCCTCGCCTTTTTGGATCCCGTATAACCTTTTCTCCGCTCATTGAAACAGCCAGGCTTGGCCTTAATTTAGATGCAGTACATGCTCACTTTCTCCACTTACCGTCATTTCAAGTTCAAACGTTGATACAGTTTTATCCCTCGCGAAAATCCATTTGACCTTACATTACGCCGACTGGAGTTGAGCGCGCTGCAGTAGGCCGACAATTGTTAAAGTCGGCTCGCGTGACAAAACCGGTAGGTCCCATCGTTGTCGTTCGATCATAGTGGAGGGCGAAGGGGGTGACGAGAACAAGTCACTGCTATTTCTGTCAGTGTTGCGATTTTCACGCGCAACATCGTTTTCGACGACCTTCATATTTTTGATTATTCATACTGACGATAGAAGCAACATTTGTGCAGTAGAGCCAATCCATATCAGTTGTTTGACAATCATATCGAAAATGATTTCTTCTGAATGCCTCCCCTAAAAGATTTATTTCAAAAAAATCTCAGAAATCTCAAATTGAGGATTATCTTAAT